TGTAACATTTGGTGCAGTGCGGTTTGGTAAGGCAGTAGCTTGGGGAAGAGCATTGCGGAGAGTGAGCTTTTTGTCTGCTAAGTTATTCTGTTCTGTTACAGTATGTCTGTAACATTTGGTGCAGTGCGGTATGGTAAGGAAGTAGCCTGAGGAAGAGCACTGTGGAGAGTGAGCTTTTTGTCTGCTAGGTTATTCTGTTCTGTTACAGTATGTCTGTAACATTTGGTGCAGTGCGGTTTGGTAAGGCAGTAGCTTGGGGAAGAGCATTGCGGAGAGTGAGCTTTTTGTCTGCTAAGTTATTCTGTTCTGTTACAGTATGTCTGTAACATTTGGTGCAGTGCGGTATGGTAAGGAAGTAGCCTGAGGAAGAGCACTGTGGAGAGTGAGCTTTTTGTCTGTGACAAACAGTTACTCAGCTTAAGCATTCCTGCCTCTCATGGTCTGGTATTTAAGAACAACATGGATCATAGACTGAAATGTTATAGCCAAACCTCTCCATGGGAATGATGAGCCATTGCTTAGATGATTATGGCTGTAAAGAAACCAGTTCCTGTGTATCACAGACTGACTCTGTAATAAAAACCAAAGTAAAGTTAGCTTTATATGCAAAAGTCAGTTTACCAGCTGTAATGTCTTTCTAGCCCAATCAAACTGGTCAGTTTTTATTCACATACAGGCAGTTTTTAATCACAGGCAGAGATTCGGTCTCCATTGATCATTTGGACTAATAACTATCGGCCGTATTCTACCAAGTGCTTAAGTCAATAAAGTGCGTAGCCATTGACATGGGCACTTTTAAGCAGCTTTCCCACTTTATGCTCTGGACGGCTGTATTTGTCACAGACCAGGGTTAACAGACTACATTACCCAGGATGCCTTGCTACTGTATTTTGGTTCCCAGGGGCTCATATTTATTTTCAGTTTGTAAAGACCTTATTCTTTGAATTGTTTGCGCCTGTTAGTTTCATTACTTCAGTACATATTTATACTTACATGTTCCTTCAGTATTAAATGGGCACTTGTAAAATGAAACTATACATTTTTCTATCAAGGTATTCAGTGCTTGAAGTTGGTCAGTACTCACAGGCACGCAGTACCAGCACCTCTTTGTTTTTCTCCTCAGAATAACGGCACCTCACAATATCTGCTGAGAGTATCGGCACCAGGAACTTAATAACAAGGGGTGTGCCAGCACCTGCTGTTGAAAAACACAGGGAGTGCCTGCATATAGTACTAAATAACATGGGGAGTATCTGCACATAGTACTAAATAACATGGGGAGTACCTGCACATAGTACTAAATAACATGGGGAGTACCTGCACATAGTACTAAATAACATGGGGAGTACCTGCACATAGTACTAAATAACAAGGGGAGTACCTGCACATAGTACTAAA